GATCATAAGGTAGTTCCATTTTTAATTTTTTTGAGGTAACTCTACACTGCTTTCCACAGTGGCTGCACCAGTCTGCATTCCCACCAACAGTATGAAAGAGTTTCCCTTTCTCCACATCCTTGTTTGTTGATTTGTTAGTGATGACCATTCTGACACGTGTGACATAATATCTCTTTGTAGTTTTAATGTGCATTTCTCTGATGATTGGTGATGTTCAGCATCTTTTCATATGTTTATTGGCCATCTGCATGTCCTCTTTGGAGAAGTGTCTATTCAGGTTTTTTGCCCATTTTTTAATTGGATTGCTTATTTTTTTAGTGTTGAGTTTTAGAAGTTCTTTATAAATTTTGGATATTAACCTATTATCAGATGTATCGGTGATTATGTTCACCCATTAAATGGGTTGTCTTTTCATTTTGTTGATTGTTTCCTTTGCTCTGCAAAGGAAAGATATGTATGTAGTCCCATTATAGTTTGATATAGTCCCATTTGTTTATTTTTTCTTTTATTTCTCTTGCCTGAGGGGAAATATCAGAAAAAATACTGCTATGAGCAATGCCCAAGATTTTACTGCCTGTTTTCTTCTAGGATGTGTATGGCTTTGGGTCAAACATTTAAGTCTTTATTTTAGTTTGAATTCATTCTTGTGTGTCACACTACCTAATATCAAACTACACTCTAAGGCCACAGTAATCAAAACAGCATGGTGTACTGGCATAAAAACAGACACACAGATCAGTGGAACAGAATAGAGAGCCCAGAAATAAATCCACACCTTAATAGTCAATTAATATTTGACAGAGGAAGCAAGCACATGAAATGGGCTAAAGATAGTTGATTCAATAAACAGTGTTCGGAAAATTGAACAGATGCCTGCAGAAAAATGAATCTAGATCATCTTCTTATTTTATATTTCAGAGTGATAGACTCATTCTGTCACCAGAAATCATTGTTCATTGAATTCAGCAGACTGGGCATTAGGGGATACAAAGATGCAAAAATACAGTTGTTACCCTTAAGGCTCCTCCTGATTCCTGAGACAGATGATAGTATACAGATAGTTGTATAAATGTCAGTTAGAATGTAAGCCTACATCAGGTTCAAAGCAGAGAAGAGGAAAAGAGCTCTGAGGACTGGAGGAAGGGATAGCACTGACCAGAGCCTGAAAAGGGAGCTTGGGTTCGGCAACGGAGGCAAGCTGGGGCATCTTACAGACAAGCAGAGGCAAGGAGATGGGAGCATGAGGACTCTTCTTGGAATGAGTCCTGAGGCCAAGTAATTGTGAGATTGGAAAAATAGGTCGTGGCCAGGGGGTGACAGGTCCCTGAATGCTTAATTAAGGATTTAAACTAGATTCATGTAGTACTTGTGAACCTTTGAAACTTTTTAAAGGGGAGAACAGAAATATGAATTTGGTGGTAGCAGTGAAATGACCAGTGACTGTCCCAGGGATTTTAATCTAAATTCAACGCAAGAAATGATGCTGTTGGCCTATTCAGAAGGACATGTAGTTTGTTTCTTTCTTGTTAGTAATTCCAGGTTGGTACTAAACCATTCATATGTTTTCACCTGATCGCTATTTCTATTTTATTAACAGAAGTGAAGTAGGCTGGCAAGTTCAATTTGTATCTAGAACATGAGAAATTAATTGGCCTGCCAAGGGATCAACGCATTCAACTTCCTGGCCTCATTAACTCTGTAGTCAACCAACAGAGGTAGACTCTAAATGGAAATTGCCATCTGTCCAAATAAAAAAATAAAATAGGTAAAAAGAATATATTAACTTTCAAATGTAAGTTACTCCATTACATATTTTCTTTTTAGAAAAATCATTTGAAACATACCCCTCCTCACTTATAAGGACAAGGGATTTTAAGTCTCAGAATATAGCCTTGAGTATAATTTACAAGTATATATAAGTTTGCTAGAAAAAAATGAAAATATTATTGATATTTTGGTGTGTTAGATGCATAGGTATTTACAACATGATCATACTGGTCTCAAATTTATTACTTTTAAATGACTTTTACAAAATTTAGTTAATTTTTATAAAAAGTTTGCTCTGCATTTTTTATCGTCAGCCATTGACTATTTACTTACTGCCAAGTGCTAAGTTAGCTACTCTACACAGTTTGCCTCATTGAACCCTTTGACTGCTTCACAAGATGTGTATTGTTGGCCCTCTTTGGACTGATGAGGTATCATCTCATCTCATCTCATCTGTAGGGGGCAGAGCTGATTTCTAAGCTTGTGTTTCAAACCCTACTTTTAACGCATCCTCTATATTCTAAGGACAATGTGCAAGGTGGCTAAGCATAGCATGGAGGCACTGCGTAGCTTAGAGTTAAATAGATTCCATGTTAAATTTAATTGTTCTGATTCTTATCACCATCAAAGTAAAATAATTTTTTTGATAAGCTGCTAGCTAGGATCTTTTAAGATCCTGTCAAACCTATGCTGACAGAATGAGCTGAATATTGCTTCCTTAGGGCCAGTGGGACTACCTTCCAGGCTCAATCTCAGTCCTTTTAACATAAAAAAAACCTTAGTAGCAACCAGTACAATCACATAATTTCGCTTGTCCCTCTGCCCCCATGGTAAACTTGTTACATACCATTCATGACATTGTTAAAAATCTTAGTTACATGTTTTAGTAGATTACAATGTAGATTTTGCAAACTTTTTTAGGTTAGGCTTGCTATAATAAAATGTTTAGCTGTTTTATGTGGCCCCTGAAGATATATTCAAAACTATTATGAACTACATTATTATCGGCCTTTTGCAGACTTACCAGTGGTTTACAGTGATGCATCAGTATGATCAAAGTCAGTACCTAGTGTCTTTGAAGAGGAGTGTTAAACTATTTGTCATCACATTTTGCTTTTCAGGAAAATATTATGTTCCCCCCCTCAAAAAAAAAAACCTATGTCTTTAGGCTCTACCAGAGATGCCCAACCTTTTGGTATCTCTGGACCACACTGGAAAAAGAAGAGTTGTCTTGGGCCACACATTAAAAACACAAAGACTAATGAAAACTGATGAGGAAAAAAAAAGGTTTTAAGTAGATTTATGATTTTGTATTGGGCTGCATTCATAGCCATTCTGGGTTGTGGGTTGGGCACCCCTGCATCTAGACCCCACCATATATAAGAGGGAGCTTTATAAACATAGATATTTAATAGAGTTAAAAATTTAAGATATTAGAATATGTGAATGTTTCTAGATTTAATCAACCTTTTGGGCAAACAAAGGTTAATTAAAAAGAGGCTTAGTTGGTTAGAGTTTTGTCTCATCATACATCAAATGGTTGCAGTTTGATCCCTGGTTAGGGCATATGCGTGGGTTGTGGGTTCGAGCCCCAGTTGGGGCACTTACGGCAGACAACCAATTAATCTCTCCCGCCTATCCCCTCACCCCAACTTGTCCTCTCAAATCAGTAAACATATCCTCCGGTGAGAATTTTAAAAATTTTAAAGAAAGAAAAAGCAGGCCAGAATTTGTATCTTACTACAATTTCAAGTTAAAATTTGAGGAGTTTTCTTGTAATCTAGATGCTACAAAAGCTAATTTAGAAAGTCATATGAAAATCCAATGGATAAATGAAAGAATTCGACACACTGTAATTGTATTGCAGCTACTTAAGTGGAACTGAGACTAGAAAGCTGCACAGCCAACTTCTTGATGGCTGCCCCTTTTCCCCTCTGGATATCTGTGCCTTCCAGACTTAGGAGTCAGATCTCATGTTGAGCCTCTCCCTCTTCCTCCCTCATCTGTGTTAGATGTAGCTCCTTGAGTTCCCACAGCACCTCATGCCTAGGTCTTTCTAACTGTGTTGTCACTGATATATGCATCCCCTCTACTTGAAGCTCTTCAGACCAAGGCTGTTTTTCTCATCTTTGTATCCCAGTTTCTGCACGTGGTGAGTGTTGTTAGGTAAATAGCCATGATGCTGTATGAGTTCTAAAAGCTTTGACCTCTGAAACTTTTCTGTTGCCTAAGAAAACCTGTCCTCTCCCCTATAACTGTGAAGTCTTGGTTTACTTAGCACCCTATCAACTGGAAATCATTGTAGTATAGTATAAGAGGGACTCAGTTTTGATTTCTGACTGCCTTTTACTTGCTCAGTGACCTTGGACAAGGCACTGAATTAATTTCTGCCAGCTTTGGTCTTGAATCTTTTAAGTGAAGGCTTTGACTAAATGCTCTCCATGTTCCAGTACAGCTGCAAAGCTCTGTGGCCTAAAGGCAAAGTAGAGTAGCAAAAGACTAGTTGATTGGTGGGCAGAGCTGTTTTCCTACCAACCACTGACTATGCTCACTGAGTCGTACATCTCTACAGTTGCTTGAAGATTTGTGTATAGCAGGGGTGTCAAACTCATTTTCACCAGAGGCCACATCAGCCTTGCAGTTGCCTTCAAAGGGCCAAATGTAATTTTAGGACTGTATAAATGTAACTACTCCTTAACAGTTAGGGAGTTGAAATTACATTCAGGCCTTTGAAGGCAACCACAAGGCTGATGTGGTCCCCGGTGAAAATGAGTTTGACACCCCTGGTATATATGTGCTGGGACAAAACAAATGCTAAAGTAACTTGAAATTTCAAATATTAAATTATGTTCAATATAATTTGTGTTAATTATATTTTGTTGTATTCTCATTTGAAATGGATTATTCATGTGTAGTATGTGGGGTCATTAAGTTACAGTGTTAGATTAATCAAGATACTGTTTCTCATCATGCTGGATAATGAAGTGTTATGGAAAGTTACATCTTGAAAATATTTAAAATATAGAAATATACTCCAAAAAGATAATTTGAAGAATGTTTTCATGTTGGTCAGTGTATTTTATTTTGCTTCCAGAAAGTTTAATAAAGAATATTAAATAAATGTGAAACAATATCAACAGTTTAAACTTTAAACTTTTGAATAATTTTTCTTTTCTTCATGATCAAGGATTCTGATTTTTGATGTTTGTTCTTTTGATCTTATATAATTTCAGCGCATTTAGAAACTAGCTTTGAGGAGGTAGAAAATCACCTGCTGAATCTGGAGGATTTATGTGCACAATGTGAATTAGAAAGACACAAACACACACAGTCCCAACAACTGGAAAATTACAAGAAAAATAAGAGGTAAGTTTGAAAAGTTGGCCACAATATTAATTTTTAATTTCTGAGTTTTTTGCAGTACTTTACATGCTGTTATTTGTAACTTTGGGCTTACAAATAAAAGACAAATGATTCAAACGTAGAGCTTATTAATAAACTTTCCAAAGCATAATATATATATTTTTGTCCTATTCATTATCTGTTGCCATTTTATGAAGATGGGTTCTAAAAACTAAGGATAGAGTAAAAAGTGGAGGAGAGCAGAGTAGTGGGCAAAGCTTTCCCAGAACATAATTGCCTTGATTTTGTTTTCTCCAAGTTTCAAATGCCTGAGCTGCTTTTCCCCTTTTCTTTCTTTTTTCCTTTTTTATTGCCAGAGCAGGAGGAAAAGGAACCTGAGCATAGGCTGTGGAAAGGGGTTATCTAGATGGATTTGAATCTCAATCGTGTCACATGCTGGCTGTGAGGCCATAGGCAAACTTATTTAATCTGTTTTAGCTTCAGTATCTCCAGCTATACTGAAGGTAATAATGTACCCACCTCACAGAGTTGTTGTGGGGATTAAATGAGATCATTGTTATCAAATGCAAGTAAGAGTTCTATATGTGTTAAGTGATTACAGAGATTATCATCACTAGGCTGGCGTGAACTGGGAAGGGAAGAGAGGTCTGAGAGTAATGGTCCGCTAAACTGCCTGTGGCATGCCAACTTGTGCAGTGACATCTTGGGCAGGGCTGGAAGGTGCAGGGTGGTCCTCTGAAGTCTGTGGGGAGGTCCACAGAAGCTGGTGAGAGCGCCTGAGACTGTCAGCTGGGCAAGCAGGAAACAGAGGGCACTTGATAGATGAAAGAAAACAAGTCTTGGGATTAGAGTCTGGTGGAGGCTGGAGAGCTGATTTGGTGGGAGAGGAAGAGGGTATGTTTGGCAGAGTATGCTTTTGATTTCAAGGTGACTGATAAATTGAGTAGTTCTGGATCTAGAGTGTGACAACAGGAGGAGTGGATTGCTGGCAGGAAGTTCTGGCACTGATGCATAGGAGGTAAAAAAGTGAAATTAAAATGTAGGTATTGTACTTATCACAATGATAAAGTTTTCTAGAATAATGCCAAGGGGAAGAGACGAAAACTGAGTATTCTGAAGTTCTCAGTCAAGTCCATGTGTCTCTAGGGATGGGTCTTAAATGTTAATGAGACATAAGAACCACCTGGGAAGAATGTTTCAAATGTGAAGTCCTGGTATTCATCATTGGAGAGTTAATACTTACTCATAGCATCTTTATAAAATAAGTATTTATCAGTAAATGCCAAAGTATTTTGCATCCAGTTATCTAGTAAGATATTAGACTTGTGATTTAAATTGAAGTAATTTATATCCTGACATGCTTATTACTGATTTAATTCAAAATTAACAGAAATACATGTGTTTTGGTTATTGTTAGAAGTCTTTGCAGCTCTAAGCTTGAATTTCTTCTCAGCCACTTGCTACCTATGTGACCTTTTGCAAATGACCTATCTTTGGCTTTCTTATCTGGAAAACAGAGATAATGAGACTTTCTTGCAAGGTTATGGAAGATAAGAGACAGGCTTTATTTATTTGTTTTCTTTTTAAGGGCCAAATAAAAGCAGACCTATTTAGCTCACAGAATCACTGGTAATTCTCAATTCTAGTTAATTTGCCTTTCTAAATACAAATAGTAGAAATACTGAATATGAAAACATTGCTTAATACCATTTATAAGCTATAATTTTTTCTGAAACTCTTAACCTATTTTATTCAGCATGTAAAAGGATGAAGTATCTTTTTCAAAAATACTTTTGGAAGCAATTTATTTAGTCAAGCTACACATACGTGTGAATACATATATGGCTGATTGATAATTGGTTGTAGTAGAAATAATCTGAGTTGACAGCACTGAGAAAGTAGAGCAGTTTTATTTAGTCAAGTGTAGATTGATCAAAAAGTATGTTTTAAATAATGTCATGTAGAACTTTGACTGAATTTACTATTCAAAGATGTCTTATTTACATTATAAGTTCTTGGTTATTTCTGCTCAATCTTGAAGTATCAAAACTGGGAATATGGTGAAGGTTAGTGTAATGACACCAAATTTTTTTTTAAGATTTTATTTACTTATTTTTAGAGAGGGAAGGGAAGGAGAAAGAGAAAGAGAGAGAGAGAGAGAGAGAGAGAGAGAGAGAGAGAGAGAAACATCAATGTGCGGTTGCTGGGGGTCACGGCCTGCAACCCAGGCATGTACCCTGACTGGGAATCGAACCTGCAACACTTTGGTTCCCAGCCCGCGCTCAATCCACTGAGCTACGCCAGCCAGGGCGACACCAAATTTTGATTAATAGAAAACTTTCGTTTAACATGGTGGATTGAACACAGTCATTTGTCTTCACTGAAGCCCTACTGAAGTTGTAATAAAGAACTTTTAAAAAGTTATAATTCACACCCTGACTAGTGTGGCTCAGTTGTTTGGAATGTCATCCCGTAAAGCAAAAGGTCACAGGTTCAATTCCCAGACAGGGCATATGGGGTTGCAGGTTCAGTCCCCATTTAGGGCGTGTGTGAGAGGCAACTGATCAATGCTTCTCTCTTGCATCAGGGAGTGTTTTTCTCCCTCTCTCTCTCCCTCCCTTCCCCTGTTTCTAAAATCAATAGCATGTCCTTTAGAGAAAGCAGAAGAGAAGTACCTAAACCCATCTAGATCAACAAAGCAATTACAATATTTAAAAAATAATTTATAATTTGCAAGAACAAAAAGACTAGAAGAGTAAATACCATCAACATTTTGTAATAGAGAAGGTGGGTGATGAGTGGTAGCTGACAGCAGAGCAGAGGAGGCTGCAGTCTAAGCTGAGACTCAGGTGCCTGTAGTGGGACCAGGACGTGCAGCATGCTGACGTGTGCTAGAAAGGTTCAGGATTTGAAAGCACCATGAACTTGAAAAGGTAAAAGGTGTTAAAAGTATATGCATGGAGAGAACATACATGGAGAAATTAGACCTCCTGACCTATGTTCAGCCACATCATTACACCAAGCCCTAGCTCATTAAGTGACATTAGGTTGCACCCAAGAGGCACCAGACTTGAAGAGTCTGGACACATTTGAGAGAAGTTAGAGCTACCACTGTGTTGAAAACAAAAGAATTAGTGAAAGGCACATATCAAACAGCAAGGCTCTTTAGGCCTCTTTCTTCACTGGCTCCCAGAACTTTGGCAATCAAACTTACATCCCTGTGTAGAATTTTGGAGGGTTCTTCTGAGAAACTGACCAGCCCAAGAGAAAATACCTGCAAGTATGGATATTTGTAGAGTTCTCTGATGAAACAGCTGGGTCTGCATCTTAACACCTTTTGATGATGAGAGCCGCCCCCCCCCCCCCCACATCTGCACATGACTTCTAATCAACTTTTTGGTGCCTCACTCTTAAATATGAATGGACAGCTAAGGAAGAATATCCAGTTAAGGGAATCTTCTAACATGAAAGGGACCAAAATAAATAGAAAATAATCTAATAATAATATATATATTTCAACCCACAGAGAAATGAAAAACTATGAGGAGAGCAAATGAAAACTTAAATTTTTAAATTATTAATAGCCTCAGATACATGAGGCCATCTTGCATTTATGAGGCATGGACAGAATTCTATAGAAAAAGAATAATTAGCAAGAAAGAGCTCTTAGAAATAAACTATGTGATAGCAGAAGTAGAGAAAACTTCAACTGGAGCATTGGAAGATAGTGTTAAGTATTTATATAAGAGAACAAAAAGATTGAGAAAAGCTAAGTTAGAAAATTAGATAATTAATTCTTAAGTCCCTTATCTGACTACTAAGAGTTCAGAAAGAAAGAGAGAAAAAGAGACAAATTCATTAAAGAGATAATACAGGAAAATTATTCAGAACAGAAGAATATGAAAAATTGTGAAAGGACCTACCAAGTACTTGGAAAAAATGAGTGGAAAAAGATCCATTGTCAATACATATTTTTGTAAATTTTACTACACTGGGAATAAAGATTTAAAAAAAGCATTTAGAAAGGTCTTAGAGTAAAGATTAGAAATCAAAAGAACTTCAGAACTTTTCAGCAACACTGGAAGTGGAAAATGGTATTCACTTTATTTTACTTTATATATACTTAACAAAGTTTTCATCAAGTGTGAGGAAGTAGCTGTTTCCAGGCATACAGGGCTCAAATTTAGCTCATATGCACACTTTCAGGAAACCACTGGAGGATATGCCTTACAAACAAGGAGGAGGAAAGACAAACACAGAAGAGAGATGAATTGCTCCAAGAGGGTCAGTCCATTTTAGAAAAGAAACAGGGAATTTTCAGAATGATGGTGGAAAGAAATTTCAGCAGTCCTGGAGAGCAGTCAGACTGAAAACAGGGAGACTTCTGGAAAATTCTGTGAGCAGTGTTTCTAAGGAGAAAAAAAATGAAGCTAATAAATTGTCTGATATGCTTGACCATATTGAGAGGAGTTTTATAAGCTCTGATGGACAGTTTTATGGTGAATTAGTGATAGGTATGTTTTTTAAAAAGTAAGCAAACCAGGCAACTGTTAACATGAAGGGAAAACTCAGGTTTATAAGAAAAGAAATATACTACATGGTTCAGTTGAAAACAATATTTATGTAATTATAATAATTAAATGCAGAATGTGGATTTAAGCCAGAACTGTAATATAACTTATTGGGAAGATAGGGCAAAGGAAGCCTGTTTGTACTGAGGGGTAGGCAGAGCCATATCTCTCACAGCAAGAAGTCTGTGACTAATATTTAAAATTAAAAAGTGAATATTAGTGTTGGCATGTTATTTAGAAATAATGGAGGTAAATACCAGAAGAAATAATTGAAAGAATTGAATATGGCTGCTTGTGAAGAGACAGAAAAGGTGGAGAGATCTAGGGAAGAGACTAATTATCATAAATAAACCCATGTGAGTACTATTTGCTTAAGGAATGTATATGCATTATTTTGATGAACATAAAATTGAATTTAAAAACTTTTTAAAA